CCTAGAATTTGGACTTCTGGCCCCCAGAACTGTGAGAGAATACATTTCTATTGTTTTGAGCCATCCAGTTCATGGTGCTTTGTTACAGCAGCTCTAAGAAACAAATACATAGGAGTTCAGGCTAAGGGATATATTGGGAAGTAATGGGGGAAAGGGTGAGATTTCTGGAGACTGATTGTAATCTCTCTATTTTGTAATCTCCTATCACCTTTCTATTTGGGAACAACAACAAAAAAATAGTGAATACCCACACTCTTTCTTCAGGCTATAATTAATGACTATAAGTATAGGGAATCATTATCTGTAGTATACTTTTCTATTTTTAGTCACATCAAATCCAAGGGAAATGCTTTGGGATGGTGTAGGAAGGATCTTTATTAGATATGAATCTTGATGCAAAGAGGTATGAGGCTCTTGGGACAGGTTAGAATCAAAATGAATTTCTAAACAGCTGGGTGTAAGTCAGTTTTTTAAATTAATATATTTTACACATATAAATATTATAGAAGCCCAGTATTTAAAACAATTGTATGATAAATTCATATATAAGAGGAATAATAAATACTTTGGGAAGAAATATTAATATATAATTTATCTAAATTTTCATGTATCCCATTTATCTTAAACAAGAACCATCTACACAAAAGAAAGTAGGTCAATTTTAACTAAAGATTAAATAAGAATGATAATGCCTACATATGAGCTTCCTTAGGGCAGATATTTTTGTCTCTACTCTTTACTGGGGGTAAATGGTACCTACACATAAAAGTTCAATAAATATTTTTTGAATGAATGTCCCAGGTAATTTATACTGTTACTGGAAAGGGTGGGATTATGTGGTGTCTATTTCTTGGTCTAAGACTTCATTGTTGTGACAAATAACACATTTGTTTATTTCTGTAAGGCAGGATGTGAGAAATAAGGAAAAGACAAAGAATTATGGAATTTAAAAGCATGCACTAAAGTCTGAAAGGCTATCAAACTAGATCTATAAAGCGGACTATCTAAAATGATAGTGGTGATGTAAGCTCTTGATTGATTTCAAATATTAAGTTTTGTGAGGGCAGGGTAAGGCTTCTGAGAGACTAGAAGGTCTCATCCTGCCAGTTAGTAGGGAACATACGCATTCAGCTTGGCCACCTGGGGCCCATTTAGTGCATTAGTGCAATAATTTGCTAAATGGGTCCCTCCTAGTAAAAAACAATGAGTGAACAGTGAGCAATTTAGTCAGGGTAAACTACTAGTAGCTCAAGGACATAAAAATGTGGAACTATAATTACATCCCTTGTTCATAATGTACTAACTAAATGTATTACATTGTATATTGCATCTTTCTGAGTTTATTTCTGGACACAGCTGAGCCTTTAACAATTCAGACTGAAACCATCCCAGCTATCAATTCATGTCTCCATTAAAATTCCAACTGCTTATATTAGAAAAAAAATTCCAAAGATGGTTTCTTTTATCTTGGATCTAAGGATGCAAACAGGTTTAACCTAGATGCAAAACACCGCAAGTCAGTTACAAGTCACACAGCATAAAATAAACTGTGGCAGTAAATTGAAAATTATGTTCTCTTTTCCTATACTTAGTTGTGAAAATATTTTAACAAGTTGGCATCAGGATTTGCAACTTTTATATGTGTCGTTTCTTTTCAGGATTATCTTTTAGCATTTTAAGATGTGATTCTTTGAGAAGTGTGGCGAGTCAGAAATGTGGTATTAGAATTTGGAAAGCTAAAGGGTAGGGGACATTCATGAGTTATAGGGTTTCAGGATACTGGCTTATTCCCCACTCTGCTTTTAAGTAGGAGAAGCTATTTCATGGATGTGTGGGAAACATTTGTCCTTTCCGAAATCCTTATTCAGAGAAATTGTGTAGTTAGCATTGGCTCAGATGGCTTGGATGGTGTTCCATGATACTGGCAGTCTCTAAGTACAAGCTTGCCTTATCAATGCCTGTTATTTCAGGGTTCCAGTTCCTCCAGTATTAAGGGGACTATTTATGAACTCTGATTTTCTTTCTTTTTCTCTTCTCACCCCCAAGTCTGATAACTTGATTGCAGGTTTGGAGGTAGGACAAGGGATGGATCACAGTGGACCCTTGTTCTTCTGCTCTCCCTCAAGTCTGATTTTTATTATTCTGGGTAAAATGGAAAATGGCATTTTTCAGATTATGGACACTGCATGAAATAGTTTCTGATTGTAGAAATTATATTCTACATTCATCCCTGTCCCCTTCCCCACAACACACTGTTTTACTGAAGCTGGAATGCATCTCCTTTTTCTTCATGTTAAGATACTTTAACATTATTCATTATTCCCCTTCTTTTCCCCACTTAGTAATCCCTCATACCAAGGCTGGCAGGTATGTCTGATGACTCCCCAACCCTCCCCACCAATAGGTTGGATACTAAATTCTCTGAGCAATGTTTTTTCTTTAAAATTTTCCCTCTTGGAGGAGAGGAGATGTTTTGGTTGTAAATAGCTTCAGGGTAAACAAAATTTCTAGAGGATAAAAAGGCAGAGTTGTGGTGATTGTGTAAAAGTTAAGTGACAGGAACCTGGGCTAGATTAAGTAGAGTACTATAATTTCTTAGGATACAAGTGGGTCCCAATGGCCAATGGTAACAATATTTATGATTAGAACAAACGAGTTCATTACATTAGCTAAAGAAATACAACTCTAGAAAGCAGATTTATAGGAGTTAATATACTATTTCTTAACAGCAAAAATTAAAGTTTTTTAGGGAATTAACCTAGGAACTAATGCATGTAAAAGCATGTAAACAGTGTGTGTTTCGGTACTGAAATTTAACATGCATTTTGTTTTTTAATCTTATTAAAGGAAGGCTAAATTAAGATACCATTCTTTTCATTTCTAGAACTAATAGTTTGTGTGAGGGCCTACTTAAGACAACATATGGATTGGTATGGTTGAAATTTACATTTCAATATCATTACATATTTCTCTGCCTTTCTGTTTTCTTTTAGAGTTTGATCCTTCAGAAAGTACTGTTTCATTTGTTCCAGGAAATTTCATCCAAAGTTCAGGTCTTGTTTTTCTGACTACCTGGACTAGGTAAGTTTCCTTTGGTTCATTTTTCTCTCTTCCCAGGGCATTTGAATTTCCCCCTTCCCTATATCACTCACTTGTTAAATGTCTTTCTAATCTATAAGCTCTATGAAGGCAAGGATGTGTCTTATTTATTCAATTGGTATAATACAGTGACTGGTATATAGTATGTTTATAATTATTTGTTAAGTTAGTGGCTAGACTATCTTATCTGTCTCTGGAGAGTTTGTATTCCCCCTAATTTAAAAAATGGAACTCTGCTGTTGAGTGAATTGCAGAATAAAAATTAGTTTCATGAGGCTAAGGGGTAAGACTTCAAAAGAAAAATACAGAAAATCATTTTCAGGAACTTCAAGAATCAAGAGAAATAATTTATTTTCATTCTGGTAGCTTCCTCCAATCCTCTTTAATGAGACTGTGTAGGTAACCTAAGAACAACTTCCCTTGCCCTTATTCATTTCTATTATTTCAGCAAGAAGTTCCAGTTGACCTCTTTCTCTTTCCTTCCTCCCTCTCTTTCTGCATTCTCTCTCTCTTCTCCTTTCTGACCCCTCAATTTAATAACTTTATTGAAGTTAAGGCAAGCACTGGATAGCATGCAGTTGAAAAAGTCTGATACGAAAGACCAGATATATATAAAACAACCTGGGGGAATGGTAATTCAATTAAAAAGATTTACCGAATTTAAACAAATAGTAAACTACCCTAGTCTAGTCTACAATATTGTTCTGATAACAAAGTGCACCTTTTCAGACCATAACTGAACGTTGTAGCAGAAAACATTTTTTTCTGAATGTTGAAAGAAAAAACAAGGGAGGACATAGGAAAACACACAGGACCAGCCCATCTCATATCCCACCATGGATCTATTCCAAAGTTTCTTCTATTTTTCACTGCTTTCTGTGCCATTAAGTTCCCTCAGACTTCAAGATCAATGGGAAAAAGTGAGACCCCGGCACTTTGCCTTTTTCTTTCCTTCCTTTTCCCACTTCTCAGGAGTGGGAGAGGATCGGAGTGGGGTTGCACGATTTTCACCAAGCTCATTGAAAAACTGTCCAAGTTAGCATTTCCAGACACTGCCTGTAATCCCCGGCCTTGAAAAAGTTGGGAAAAAGTGAGTTTGGCGCCCTTTGATGGCCAGTTATCCTGTGGTCCTGGGGTTGTGTATCTGTATCTCATACAATGGCTGGAGGTGAGCAAAATGGACCGGGGACCTTCGTGCCGTTTAGGGTCCCTGAAAGCCCAAGCTTTCAATTAGCAGGGAAATCGAAAGTCTTCTGGGGAGCGGGAGTGCGCGGACTGGGTACTAGCTAATGAAAATTTCCCAGCATAAAGTGTAACAGCAGAGGGCACAGTACCCACTGCCCAAGGCCAGCTACTGGCAGCAATGGGCGGGCAAAACCTAACGATTTCTGGAGCTTGTAGTTCGCCACGTTTCCCGCGGGCGTGTGCGTCCCCGCATTAGGACTACAACTCCCGAGGCGCCTCGCGCGCCGCTCTCTTCGCCACCGCCCAACTCCGAGGCCCGCGCTGGAACTTCCAGGGAAATTGCCCCCGCCCCGCCCCCGTACGCACCCGTCATGTTTGTTTACCCTGAGGCCCCGCCCCCTGCCCTCCTCCGGCTGTCCCCACTCCTCCCGGGAATGCGGTCAGGCTACTGATACATATTCATGAGGCCCGCGTGGAGCTCCGACCCTGCCGGCCCCCCCCCGCCCCCCGCCTTCCCGCTCCCTGCGCTTGATTAATATTCAATGAGCCCAGCTTCGCGGCTGGTTCGCCACGGCGAGTGGGGGCAGCGGGCGGGGCCTGCGCTCGGGAGCCGGCGACCCGGGTGGGGAGCGCGCCGGGGGGCGGGGGCGGCGGTGCAGGCGAGCGCGCGGGATGGGACACCGACACACCGACGGAATGCTCCGAATTGCCACATAATCCCCTGGAACGGCCGCGGCGAGCGCCATTGGCTTCTCTCTTCTCCGCGCGCCGCCGCCGCCGTCTCCCACCTTCGCCTCACCGCCTCTCTCTGCGCCCGCTGCCTCCGGAGCTGGGGGGGAAGCGCGGAGCCCCACCGCAATGGAGCCCGCTGCCGCGGCTACGGCGCAGCGACTCCCAGGGGCCAGCGGGGAGGACCGAACTCCGGCCCCAGCGGCCGCGGCGGCGGCCGGGGGCGGCCGGAGCCCAGAGCCTGCGCTGACCCCGGCGGCCCCGGGCGGCGGGGCGTGGGAAGAGGCTCCCGGCCGGGCGCAGCCGGGGCCGCTGCCGGGCCGCGCGGGAGGCACGGGCCGGAGGCGGCGGCGCGGCGCTCCCTTGCCCTCCGCCGGCGGGGCCGTCCCGGGGTCCGCGGCCGGCAGCGGCGCCAACTCCCTCCTCCTGCGGAGAGGGCGGCTGAAGAGGAATCTGTCCGCGGCCGCCGCCGCCTCGTCTTCGTCCTCGTCCTCGTCGGCCGCTGCCGCCTCGCTCCCCCCCGGAGCCGCCGGCCTCCCCGCCTCCTGTTCGGCCTCGGCTTCGGCGTGCACCCGGAGCTTGGACAGGAAGACGTTGCTCCTGAAGCACCGGCAGATGCTGCAGCTGCAGCCGTCGGACCGGGACTGGGTGAGGCACCAGCTCCAGCGGGGCTGCGTGCACGTCTTCGACCGCCATATGGCCTCGACCTACCTGCGCCCGGTGCTCTGCACGCTGGACACCACTGCCGGCGAGGTGGCCGCCCGCCTGCTGCAGGTGGGCCACAAAGGCGGCGGCGTGGTGAAGGTGCTGGGCAAGGGGCCCGGACCCGCGGCCGGCGCGGAGCGGCCCCCGGACGCCGGTGCGCGACTCGCGCCCGCCGCGCCGCAGGACTTAGGGCCCGCGCCGGGGAGGAGCGGGCCGGCTGCCGTCGGGGACCCGCCGCGCGCCCCTCCCGCGGACCTGCCGCTGCTCCGCGGCGCGGACGGATGGGCTCGCCGGCCCCCCCGCACCAGCCCCGCGCTCTCGGACTCCAGCCCGGGAGAGCCGGGCGCCCCGCTCCTTCCGGACGGCCCGGCCGCGGGCCCGGCCTCCGACACCGAGAGCTTCAGTCTCAGCCCCAGTGCCGAGAGCGTGTCCGACCGGCTGGACCCGTACAGCAGCGGCGGCGGCTCCTCGTCGTCGTCCGAAGAGCTCGAGGCCGATCCGACCCCGGCCCCGACAGGGGCTCCGGGCCAGCCGCGCCGGCCGGGCCATTCTGTGCAGCCGCGGCCGGGAGCGGGCGCCTGGACGGCTTCCCCGACGGCCTCCCCGAGTCCGCCGCAGCCGAAAGCCCCGAGGGGCGTCGACGGCCCAGGCGAGGCCGCCTGCGATCGGCCTCGGGAGGAAAAGGCGGCGGCAGTTGGAACACTTAGCGGTCCCCCGTCAACCCCGGGTGGGAACGGGGTTACTGCGGAGAAGATGCCTCCACCGCCCACCCTGTACGTGCAGCTCCACGGAGAGACCACCCGGCGGCTGGAGGCGGACGAGAAGCCATTGCAGATCCAAAATGACTACCTCTTCCAACTGGGGTTTGGGGAGTTGTGGAGGGTGCAGGAGGAAGGAATGGACTCGGAGATTGGCTGCCTCATCCGCTTCTATGCAGGTAAGAAAATCATTTGCACTTTGACGTGTGGGGTGTAAACATTTCCAGGGCCCGAGGAATGAGCCAAGTCGGCTGTGGGTTTACCCAACCCGACAGTAAACGCAGGTCCTTGGGAGTCTTGTTACTTTACAGCTTTCACGTACAATCTGTAATAGTAATGTGAGCGATTTTTTTAATCCTCGAGTTTTCGTCAATCTTGAGGGCGCAGAGGTTGGGAAGCAAGGTGGAAGAGGTGGCAGAACCACCGGAAATTCGAGGAAGCAGATACTCCTCAAAGAGGCAGTGGTACATTTATTAATGAGAGTGTTTCCTTTGGGCTCCCTTTCTGGGCATGTTGCATTTGAGGCAGTTTGGGATTTCAGGTAAATTATCACGTGCATGTAATACAGACAGAGGAAAGTGATCAAGAATGCGTCGTGACACTCTTCCCTGCGTAATATACCCCCAGGAGCTCGTTCTTTGTCAGCTGTGCACTCGTTCAGGTGTCATGCTTATTTGCGCACCTAGTCCTCTATAGAAACCTAAGAAATGTGATCCTTTGAGTGATTTTTTAGATGCTTTTTTTCCCAGAGCTTTTTTTTTCTTTATTTCAACTTCCTCTGCAAGTTTGAATCTTGTATCAAAAGTGATTTTGCCTTCTTCCTTCTCTCATTTATTATTTCTGGCCTTTAGAGCCAGAAGTGACCGTTGCGGTGTGACTTGCAACAGGGATCTCAGTAAGACTTTAAGTGGTTAGAGTGTGATTTAAAATCCTAATTTTTTTTGTTCTACATTAAAGTTCTTTTTTATTTTTCTATTAATCTATTCCAGCTTTACTGAAATATAATTACGTGTTAGATCAAATTCTTGACTAGGGGTGGCTAATGTTTCTCTTTTCGTTAAAGACTTAGAGCTGGCACTAAGTTAGGGATCTATAGATTCTGGTTGTTATATATGAGCTTTATAAGTTGTTTGCATCCTTTTCCTCCTCTGATTTGAAGAATTATGTTCTCAGTGATAAGGATTTTTATTTAGAATAGAATTAGCCTAACAAAATTAGGTTAAATCTTCCACAACTTTACTATTCTAGTTTGTGCGTGATGGTGGAAAAATAATTATACTTGTAACTTCATTGATCTGTAGCCATTCTTTCTGATGTGTTTTTGGTCCAGCTTGTGTCCTAGTGGCAGTTTAATCAGTTTCAACGAAGAAAGCTTTACTGCCGCGTTGAAATATGCAGCACCATTAGTGTTCCTGGTGAGGTGTTCCTCTAAGTGTCATTGAAGTGTTTTCTGTAATTCAGGTGGATTTCGGATGTATTTTTGTCTTATAAAGAAAACCTTATCATAATAAGTCATAGTTAGGATATTTGCAGTATCTGAAGATATTGTCCTAACTGGATGACATGTCTAAAAGTTGATGGCCTAGAAAATAGGTGATTTTTTAAAAATGTAGGAGCAACAACTATGTCATTGTTTCCTGTAGCTCATGTAATTTGTAAAATACTTTTATTTTACAAAAGCATGAAGCGATAATCACACTTGGAGTGAGAACATTTTGTTAACATGAGAATGATAAATGCCCTTATTACCAAACTAAGTACACTGAAGGAAATACATAAGTATGTAGCAAGGGATATGTTAAACAAACAGTATTGAGCATATTTTTTTTATGGAAAAAGCTCTGCAATCTTTGTTTTCCTCATGGTTGATTATGTTGATCGTGATGAATGTCCATGGGAATGGTTTTGGATGTCATAGTTAGGATATTTGAATCTTTGGTTCCCCTTTGTCTCTTCAGATGTATCTAAAGTATTCTAAGTGAATGATGTGAAATTTCAAAAAAATTACCTCAGTATAAAAGTGGCAAGTGGTTAAATCTTACCTTTCTGGTGTGGTCATTTTAATCTTTTGTTCTTTATGAAAAGCAGTAATTGTTACTTCATTCTAAACTTACTTGCTCTTTTCTATATGCACAGCGTAAATATGTATTTGCCTCTATGTATACACTAGTAAAAATAACTAATGGGGAAGCCACACACACTGTCAAACCTATTCTTGAATTTGAAGCCAGTGTACAGGTGTCCTAGAAGGAAGGTGCCTGGTTGTTATAAAGCTGTCTAATTGCTTATTGGTTTTTATGCAGAGTTGAATTTATTTTAATCCTGAGTTTACATACCAAATGTCTCTGTGTTGATATTCATTTGCCGTAAAACAAGATTTAGCATGTAGTGAGTCCACTTGCATTTTTGCAAGAAGTTTAGTTTTTGACCAATAAAAGGGTTTGTTATAAGGTGGTCTCACTCATTATGAGAACATTGTCAAGACTTCACGTGTAGTGAAAGTTTGTACCAAGCTGGAGGAGATTCCTAGAAATTATCCCTGTTTGGCAGTGGAATGCAGGACACCCAACAGGGAAATGTTACATTTTGGTAGTAAATTCTTTTCCTTAGGAAGAAGAGAATTAATGTTTGTTTTAGATCACACATTTTAAGAGGGTGTTGTGTACCACATTTGGAGTTTTTGTAATTTTACATATAATTTACTTTTAAGTGTATTTTGCTGTATAATACTTTTGTTGATACATGCAGTTGGAGCTAAGGATAGGCTAAGAAGCTGCCTTTGAAACCCTTTGCATATTGTCCTGTTTTTAAATTAAGCTCCTTATCTGCTCTCTAGTTTATCAAGTTTTATCTAGTCAGCTGCCTTTTTTGAATTCTTGTTCAACTGAGGTCTTTCATTCTCTGGAGGGTCACCTTTCACTTAAATTTTAGTATTTTTAACCTGACTTGTTATTTTTAAAAGGCTTTGAAAGCCATTCGTGATTGCTTTGAATATTTAAATATTTATTTGGGTAAAATAAAATGAAAGTCTTTAATGAACTAAAAAGCATTAGACAAAAGGTGCTATCTATTACAGAGTTGTTAATGAAAAGTTAGCTTGAAAATTGTTATGGCACCTTTCAAACCACCATTCTCTTAGCTGATTTAAAATATGAAATATTTAAATGGTTTTATCTGAAGTTACTAGTCTGAAGTATGTTACAGTCTATCAACACTTAATTTCCTTTTAAATTCAGCCATCTTAAATTTTACCTGTAAGAGAATAATTTTAGGTTACAAAAATTCAACAATTTAAGTTGACGTAAGTTATGGACTTCAAAACATTAATGAGTTTGTGTTTTGGACCCTCTGGGGAGTCCGAATCAATGATGAAGGGCTGTATTGAACTCTATTTTTTAGTTTTTGACTCTTTTCTACCACCTCTTAGATTTAGTAGTGTAGCTACTTCAGTTCAAATTGTAATAGTGGGAAAAGATGTTGACAGAATGGAGAGTGCACCCACTGTGTCTAGTGAGCCTTGGACAAAATATTTTTATGTGTGACTTCTTGGGATTGCCCAGGAGAAAATCTCCTTACCCTTCTCACATTTCTCTTTTTCTCCTCTGGGAACGATCAAACCTTACATGTTTTCCTATGTGGAAACTGAGAAGGGTGGTTCAGCATTAAGCTGTAATATTGACGAGCAGGATCTTATTACTATAATTACAGCAGGATTGAGTAACGTGCTATGAACATGTGATACCCATGTGTGCTTGAACAGTCCTTTTAATTTTCAGAACAAAAGGTCTAACTTAGTTTTTGTATGTTTAAATTTTATATTTGTTGTTTTTGATGTAAACTCATGCTGCCTTTTCCTTTAGAACTGTGGTTTGATGACATCTTTTCATATGTTGGGTTTTATTATCTTCAAAATCTTAAAAGGGCTTTCACATAAATTATCTCATTTGTTCTTTCAGAAACATTATTGGGGAGGAGTTGGTGTCAATCCTCTTTTTAGATGGGGAAACTGGTGAGCAGAGAGGTTTGCCTCTGGCTTGTGGTTTTTTCAGTCCTTGGCAGAGCTGAGAATAGAGAGCTTGGATTATTCTGTTTTGCAATTCATATCACTTTCCATGAATTGGTGCTGAATTTCATTTACACTTGAATTTTTTCTTGTTTTTTTTAAAAGCATTCAGAAAATATACTATTTTTGTTGGTAATGAGGTGATACAATGCTCTAGTCCAAAGTGGTATTATTCCTTGTGAAATGTGGATGATCCTATCTTTATCATGCTGTCTTTAAAAACGTGAAGAACCAAGACTGGCAAGTTAGACGGTCCAGAAAGAATACTGAACTGTTCTCAGTATTCTGATCGCAAGTAGTCATTCTTGCATTGAGTTGGTATGAAATGAAGTTTACCTACTGACTCTTTATTCTCATATCCAAGCATGCCTCACTTGTTAAACTGTAAATTTTCATTGGCTAGAGAGAGTTAGCACTTCATCTGAAAAGTGGGTAACTTTTGAGAGTAGAGGTGTGACAATTTGGCTCCTTAAAAAGATAGCCTTACTTGGAGGTATTGAAAATAACCATCACGAAAGGTTTGCTTAAACCTTTTATTTAAAAATAGAATGACTTGTATTTTAGTAATCAATAGTGCTTTATTGGTGTCAGTATGGTATTGTACAATGTTTATGATTCATATGTAATATAGAGCTTAGAAAGTAACCTATGCTCCCTGCATTCATAGTTATTCCTAAAGTAGTGTGTCTTTTGTGCTAATGGTAGGGCTTAATGTGTGTAAATTAGTTTGTAAAGTTTCTGTCTTGGAAGTTGTATCCTTTTGTTGCTATAAGATTATTAAATCAGCTACCTTAAATGATTGGTCATCCAAAGATGATTTTTTAAAGAGCAAGGTGTTGTTTCTTATTTTCTTTCTTTTTGGAACCCTGATTTTGACTTATTGGTAACATATCATTCATTGACCTTGTATATGATCCAAGCCTTGTATAATACTCGACATTTTAATTTAAACATTTGTTGTATTGAATTTGTGGAATTTTGTTAAGCAACTGGTGATACGTGCCCTGATTCTTCAGCCTTCCATCCTGCTTGAGTCCCCAGGGATGTGCTGAACACACGTACACACAGAGGCATTTCTCCCATGGGAGGAGATTTTGGATGTGCCACATACTATTA